TTGTACTCTCACATATATATATACCTGCTCTTGCTTGTCTAGCTTTATATATATGTGTGTACTCTTGCATGTGAACTGGCCGTGTGGCCTTGACCCTGTGCTCGGACTGTGTGGTGACTTTGTGATCCACCCTGAGCTTGCTTTGCTTTGCTTTGCTTGACTGGTCTTGTGACCCCTTGTTCTCCCCCACTTTGCCTATGGGGGTGTGTCAGAACATTATAGCTTATGCTGTTGTGTAGGCTATAGTGGGGTATCCCATAGGGGGTACAACCAATTAGGGTTTCATATTTGTACTCACTTCATTTTCATAGTCCACTCATTCTCGTTCTCATTTTTACACGACGTCTCTTCCACCGCCGTGCAGATGTCGCTGAGCAGTGCAAGAGCTTCTGGCAGTTCGTGCATGCCAAGCGTCGTGAGCGCGGCATCGACACCGCATGGATCATCAACGCGGACCAGACGCCGCTCTGGCTGGAGATGCCCGCCACCACCACCGTGGAGGAAACGGGTGTTCGCTCGGTGCCTATCAGGAGCGCGGGGTATCAGAAGCAGAGAGTGACCGTGATGTTGACGTGCACGGCGGACGGAAGGAAGCTGAAGCCGTGGGTGTTCTTCAAGCGCAAAACCTTGCCGAAGGGCGATTTCCCTGCCGGTAAGTAAAGAGGTGCACGGCTCGGTCACTGCGTTCTTTTCAGAGTTCGAATTCTAACCACCCGTGCGTGTTTCATGCAGATGTGGCCGTGGCTTGCTACGAGAACGGGTGGATGGACTCCCCTGGCGTCGTTCGATGGCTTGAGGAGGGCGTGAAGCCGTTCCTGAAGCCTCGGTTCGGCAGACACGCCAAGAGCTCGATGCTGGTGCTGGATTCTTACCGCGGTCACCTCACCGAGGAGGTGAAGGAGAAGCTCCGCGAGATGAACTGCGTGCCGGCGATCATCCCGTCGGGCTGTACGGCGGAGGTACAGCCGCTCGATGTCTGCATCAACAAGAGCTTTAAGGCGTCGGTCCGCCAGCAGTACTAGAGGTGGTTTGAGGCAGAGGGGCAAGAGCAGCTGACGGCAGCAGGTATGGCATGAGTACAGTATTCCCCCCCCCCCCCCCCCCCGAATTCTTTGTTGTTGCACTAACTGCTTTCCACCGTTCTCCCGTAATGTTTCAGGGAACCTGAAGAAGCCTTCACCAGAGGTCGTCCTGCGGTGGGTATCACAAGCCTGGAAGGCAGTGCCCGCCGACCTCATCAAGCATGCCTTCCTCACCTGTGGCATCAGCAACCAGCTTGACGGCAGTGAGGACGGACTCGCCATGGCGCACAGGCGGAGCCAGCTGACAGCTGAAGTGGATGTCGACGATGACATCATCGCTGATGGTTTTTTTGGCAACAACTGCCAGGAGCCCGAATCTGACGAGGAGGAGTAGGAAGGTTATTGTATGATCCATGTTACCGTAGGTAGAAGTACCCCGGCTAAACTTGTTAGGAGATCTAGCTTAATTTGATGTTGCTTAGAAAAAGTGACAATTTAGTAAAATCTTTTGTAATGCCTCCAATGAAAGGTTAAGGGATGCGCTTATAATAAGGATAGAATTTTCAAGGGGGTGCGCTTATAATCGAGTTCCGGCCATAAGCGCCATGCTCCAGATAGAGGCGCCGGCGCCTTTAATCGGACGGCGCCTATATCCGGGGCCATACGGTATCATGATTTCACCCCAATTGGGGGGTATAAGGAAAACAGTCTTGAATAGTATACCCCCCCCCCCCCCCCCCCCCCCCGTATTAAAGACCCGGGAACATTATCACATCGGTAGTGAAGTTGGTTGATCAGCTTAAAACGAGGTGATAACGGCGCTGCAACACTGCTGTCACTGTTTCAGCGAGAACGAGGTGATAACGGCGCTGCAACACTGCTGTCACTGTTTCAGCGAGACTGACAGGACAAAGTTGTACTTCCAGCGCTAATCGCGGCTGTAAGGTCAGATTTCGTTTAGGCATAATGAGAGTAGGTACCCGCTAAAATGCTCATGAATCAGAGTACAGTCTGAGAAAAAGGCTGAATTTTCGGACAAGGCCTAAAATAATTTTCTGAATATTCAGAGTTCGCAGCAAAAAAAACTCTGAACTTCCAGAGTTCACTAAGAAAAAAGGCTGAAATACCGGTCTCATAGTTTTTTAGGCAAATCGGAGATATTTCTCTGACTTCTGGGGGCCTGCTTCATAGTGCATCCAGGTGTTACACAGCCTCCCTGAAGCCAACAAACTCTTATCACCAGATCAGTTTACAGGTCATCATCTGCATGGTTCTCCAGCCATTCCTCCCGCATCTTCCTCTTCCTCTCCAGCCTGTCCACGTGCCGCGCCCTCAGTTGCTCCTTGATTCTTTGCCGGTGGTGGTCGGTCATCCCCCCATCCCCACCCATCCGGTCCAGGTGCAGCTTCTCGCGCTCCTTCATCATCTCCTGTCGCATCTTCTCCCGCTTCCACACGTCGCGGTGCACCAGAGATTCCAGTGGCTGGTCTCCCGGGCGCCGCACCACGTCGTCCCCCACCAGCAACTCGTATGCCTCCTCCTGCTCCAGCACAAACTCCTTCACCTGCCAGACACACACAAAAAAGGAATTTGATTTATTATTCGATCTTCATGAACAGGGGACTTGAATGGGTGAGTGGGTGACCAGAGAGCCGTACCAGGTGGCCGACAACAAGCCCCTCGCGTGCAGAATGAAGGGCGTGGCCAAGTGTGTCACAATTTCCTACATGAGGCGCATTTGCAGCAGTGCGCATTGCATTTTGGCGGTGTCAGCCTGACTGTACTAGCAGTCGTGGCTGTGAGTAGAGTAGCTTTTAGTTCGACTCAATGGCAAGGCATGGCTAGCGTGAGTGTTACCTTGCTAGCAGCAGCGGTGGTAAGCAATGCGATGTGCAGCGTATAAAAATCCAGTGGATACACATAAGCGTTTTTTCAGGCGCTTCAGAACGTGACTATCTTGTTACCTTGCTGGCAGCAGCGGTGGTGAGCAGTGCGATGTGGAGAGTGTCCAAATCCAGGGAATACACATTGGCAATTCTGAATACTTGCTCCGTTGACAGATTACCTTGCTAGCAGCAGCCGTGGTGAGCAGTGCGATGTGCAGAGTGTCCGAATCCAGCGGATACACGTTGGCGGCGATCTTCCCCTCCGTCATGCCCGCCTGCCACCGCGTCGCCAGCTGCTGCACGTCCTCCTGCTAATGGAAGGGGGAACCGAGAGCGACACAGAGAGGGGTGAGACAGGGATAAGGGGATATCTCACATCTCGCATATGGCAAGGCCAGCGGAAGCCACTCATGAGAGATGGGAAGGGATGGGTCGGTGGTGTCGCTTTCGGGAGTTCTCAAATGCGAATTGAAAAAAAGGCAAGCAGAAAGACGAAGAGGGTTACTGGAGTGTATTTATATGCGAAACGGACAAGGTTTCCAACAGTTACGTTTCGACAGAAATTACATGCAAGATGAGGGACGTTGGGATAAGGGGAGGCAAGGGGGGTGGGAAAGGGATACAGAATGAGAAGAGAAGAGCTGAAGCGTCCGACGACTCGGAATGAGTGAGAATGACGGTAAAGCAAGGCATCGCATTCATAACTTTTACTTTCTCGCGGTCCGAGGGTGTGACGCCAGCCGCAGGAGTCGTGTCGGGGCTTCACAGAAATGAACGACCCCGGCTTGACCGACGGTTTAGCCTCCTCCACGCGCTCTATTGTCGAACATAAAACATGACCGCGTTACCGCGTCGACTCCACGCGAAATATTTATGACCGCCTTAAAGCAGCGACTCAAAGCGTGCCTGGCGTGGTCGACTCGACCTGTTTCTCGATGTCGGACAATGCGCGCATGGAGGGGGACACTGCACTCCCCGGGTCGCGACAATTTCTAAGTGCACTAAAAAAACGGACAATCCGTGCATGGAGGAGGAAACTACGCTGCGCGGTTCGGGGATGCTTTTGAGTCGCGTCAAAAGCTGCTCGGGTCGCGGTTACTCGCGACGAGCCCTAGTGACCTACTTTATCGACCGTCCCTCACGCTACTGTCCGGCGCGCAGCGGCATGTTCCCTTTTTTAAACATGAAGTGGAGAGGTTAAGGCGACTCGAGTTGTCGCATCGTTGAGAGCGGCGCGCGGGGGGTGGTGCGCGGGCCGTACCAGCGTGCGAGAGCCCGCGTCGTGACGGAGCTTGACGAAGATGAACGACGGCCGTCGATCTCTGATCGACGCCTTCAGCTCCTCCATACGCGCCTCCCGGTGCAGGTCCATTCCGCGCGTCGCTGCCGCCGCAGCGAACACGAGCACGAGAATCGCGAGCGCCGCATTGCTTGGAGCCATCAGGCTGCCAAATTCGCGGATTAGGCGCATAGAGACAGAAGTGAGTAGTGCCTGCCTAGCTATCTATCAGAAATGAGAGCCTTCTAGAAAGAAGAAACTGGGAAAGCTGGGAAATAATAGGAACAAAGAAGAATCTTGTGGCATGGAGCTTGTTGGTGGTAGCGAGGTGACAATACTAGCGCCCTCCCTGGGCCTGCCCTGGCGCTTCCCCGCAATACTAGCGCCCTTCACTCCCCCCTTCCTTCCACTCCCCCTCACCAGCCATCCCCCAACTCCCACCCCCTCCCCCTGACTCTGGTTTTCCCCTACCTCCCCCGCCCCGCCTCCGCTTCTCCAGTCCGTCCGCTCCGCTACGGCCTTGGCGGAAGTCAAAGCAGCGACACCGCAGTCTTCGTGGTGCTGCTCGGTCGAGCTGACGAAGCTTGGGAAAAGTAATCATTTGTAACAGACTCAATACACGTGGACGGATCTTAAAAGCACCACCTAGTGTATCGCTTCCTTCTAAGTTCATATACAGTATCAGGGATAAATTATACTTGTATGTTTACTCAATGGAGCTAGAATCTGCATAATATACACATGATTTTTCTCAGACAGCCTACCAATCATGCTGCCAACGCCACATAATGTGCTACACACGAGTCACATGCATCAAATCTGCTCGTCTTCCATGGCAAGGAAGTTTGCCGCTTCCAACAACCTCATCTCGCCGCCTGTTTGCGGGTCGAACTGAAGCTTGTAAAACCTGGAAGGCGGGACACAAAGACACACACACAGCAGCAGCAACATAAGCGTTTTTACTGGCTAAGACTCGGAGGTTTCGAGGCACCGTCAGCAATGCTGGTCGCAATCGCTGCGCGATCCATACAAGGGCACAGCAGGACTGGTGGCAGAAAAACGTGCAAACAAACAAACCTGTTATTAACGAGAAAAAAAATGCACGCATGGGTGCACGCGTGTGTACACACGCATGGCACACACATGGATGGGTCAACACAAGCATAAGCACACTTATGGCCACACATCCACATGCATACATGAGATGAGAGCACATGCACGAGAGAGCACATGCATAGATAGACGTACGCGCCAGTGCTGCCGACGACGATGACTGTGTTGGCCTCGGCACCAAAGGCAGCGAGCATGCGCGTGTGCACGCCCACCCGGTAGAATGCCAGCGAGCGCTCGTCACTGAAGTACTTGGGGAGGACTCCTGAAGGGGGGAGGGAGGAGTGAAGGAGAGGCAGGAGACACGTGGGGAGTGGCATGAGATGAGTGAGTATGCGCGCATGCACAGCCACTCAATAGAACGCCAGGGAGCGCTCGTCACTCAATAGAACGCCAGGGAGCGCTCGTTACTCAAGTACTTGGGGAGGACTCCTGAGAGTGAGGGGGGGGAGTCAGATAGCGGCAGGACAGAAGGGAGGAGTCAGGTAGAAACAAGAGAGAAGGGAGGAGTGGTATGGGGCAGCAAGCTTGCGTGTAGAATGCCAGCGAGCGCCCGTCACTGAAGTACTTTGGAAGGACTCCTGGGAGAGAGGGAAGAAGAGGAGTCATGGGGAGGTAGAGGTAAGGGGTGTGAAGAAACGGGCGCTTCAGACTGAAGACCATCATTAAAGTACTTGAAAGGACTTTTGAAGAGTACCCATCACTGAACTGTAGTATTAAAACGGAGTGAAAGTACACCCTGAATGGCACCCTTTTCACACCCCTCTCATTGCGCACCTTTCATCATTCCAAACGATGACATTGCTGACACCGCTCCCCCAGCACTCCCTGACGCCCATCCATGAAATAACCCACCCTTCATGTGAACTACCCCTAGAAACCCAACCCTCAAGTCTCCACCCCCAGCAACCCACCTTTCATCAGGCCGAACGATGATAGTGCCGATACCGCCCCCCCACCACTCCCCGTCGCACCTGCCTTCCCCTCGCCGCCCCCCACCCCATCTTCCTGCCCCTGCCCTTGCCCCTGGGAGTGCCGGAGTGAGAACACGTGAATCGTGCCTCTGTCGCTCGCTGCCACCAGGAAGGGCGCCTTTGGGGAGAAGACGAGGCTGTAGATGTCTGCTCTCTCCACTCCCCGCCGTAGCTGGCGTGAGGGGGCGGACGTAAGGAGAGGGGTGCAATGCGGTGAGCAGGTGTGACAAGCAACCACCAAAAAGGGCGCCTTGGAGGAGAAGACGAGGCTGCAGATGACTCTCCACTCCCCGGCGCAACTGCCAGCCATGCGGAGGGCAGCGAGGGAGTGGCAAGGGGAGGGAATGGTCTGATGCAAGGTGCAGTGCGGTGAGCAGGTGTGACTAGCGACCACCGAGGAAGGGCGCCTTGGAGGAGAAGACGAGGCTGCAGATGAGTCTCACACACACAGATGTCTCACACACACAGATGTCTCACACACACACATGTCTCATACACACAGATGTCTCACACACACAGATGTCTCACACACACAGATGTCTCACACACACAGATGTCTCACACACACAGATGTCTCACACACACGGATGTCTCACACACACAGATGACTCACACACACTCACAGCTCACCTCGTGCAGTTGCTCAACACGCGAATCAGAGTGCTCTTGCTGCTGGCTGTGGCCAGCCGCTGCCCGTCCAACAAGAGGGGGCGAGTGAGAGAATGAAAGTCGACACACCCACCAGGGGTGCACACATGACACACCCACCCCACTCCTCACCTCGTGCAGCTTGGTCCCATCAGCTGTGTTGAACACTCTGATCAGAGTGCCCTTGCTGCTGGCCGTGGCCAGGCGCTGCCCGTCCAGAGAGAGCGCGATGCAGGCGGGCTCCGAGTCGTGTGCTGCGATGAAATGCGTGCGGCGCTGGTCAAACAGCTCAATGCGGATCTAAGTGGAGAGAGAGGGGGGGAAGGGAAGGCAGTATGGGAATATGTTCAGAGGCAAGACGTCGCGAGTGGGGGCGCGCCGCGCCTGTAGTAAGAAAGAGCTGGGGGTGCGCGGCGGGCTCCGAGTCATGCGCATGCAGGCGGGCTCTGAGTCATGCGCTGTGATGACGTGCGTTCGGCGCTGATCGAATACCTCTCCTCGGATCTAAGCGGTGAGGTGAGGGAGGGAGGGGGATGCAAGGATGGAGAGGGAGGAGGTGAGGATATTGGGCTGCTATGAAGTGCGTTCGGCGCTGATCGGATAGCTCCACTCGGATCTAAGCGGGGTTGACAGTGAGGGGGCGGGCCGGAGGGGGAGAGAATCGGGGCGCATGCTCAAAAGCAACTACAGGAACGAGGAGCAGCCTGGGGAGAGGGGGCAGCCCTACCCACCTGCTGCATGTGTTTCTATAGCCCCAACCACCTTCTGCCTGTCATCCCATCCCACCCACCATACATCCCATCATCCCATCATCCCATCATCCCATCGTCCCATCGTCCCATCGTCCCATCGTTCCATCGTCCCATCATCCCATCGTCCCATCGTCCCATCATCCCATCGTCACATCATCCCATCGTCCCATCGTCCCTCCACCCATCTCAACATCTCACCTGCTGCCGGTGCTTGCCAGGGCAAGCCATGACGAAGCTGTTGGGCGACTGGGACACCTCGCACAGCCCTTTAGGGTTGGACAGCGTTTCCACCTGCAATGCGCGCATGAGACACAGAATGATGCAAGGAGGGAGGAACACACATGTCGATGGGAAATGGTGGCAAGGCACCTCATGTCAATATGAGCGGGTGACGACTAGTATCAAAACGCACTTGTGAGAATTCTCAAGAATGATCCCCAGCACGAAAATGCGCAGGGGCCACAGGGCTACACCTCATGCAGCCCCCTTGGATTGGATTCGACAGCCCTAACGGCTGCAGGTGCAGGCATCACCCTGTGTGCTCTCAGGTGTTACCTGGTGCAGGCATCACCCTGTGTGCTCCACCACCACTGCATCGCTCCTCAGCCCTGAGCTCTTACCTGCCGCACATTGATGCATCACCATGCTCGTTCACCCTACCTGGAGCAGCAGTTTGAGATGAGAGACGTTGCACCACACAATGTGGTCCTTCCTGAGCCTTGTGCTCTCAGGTGCTACCTGGTGCAGGCATCATCTGGAGCACGTTGAGGCGTTATCTGGTGCAGCAGCTTCAGGAGCCAAGTTGTACACGTGGAGTGGACGGTGGACCTTATGCTCCAGCGCGGGTACAGCTTCACGATGCAGACCAAGTTGCACCACCACAATGCGGTCCCTCCTCTGCCATGCATGCTATGCTGCAGGCAAGCATCATCTGGTGCAGGTCCCCTGTCCCATCTCACCTGCTGCAGCAGCTTCAGGTCAGCGAAGTTATACACATAGACCTTATGCTCCAACACCACCACAATGCGATCCCTCCTCAGCCGCACACCCCTCACTTCACTGCGGAAGGTGAGCTCGCCGATGCACCGGCTGTGGCTGTCGTCCCAGATCATTGCCTGTAGGGGGGGGGTGGGTAAAGAGAGCAGGGGAACGGGAGGGAGGGAGAGAAGTGAGGGAAGGGAACGTGAAGAAGGTGAGCTCGTTGATGCACCGGCTGTGAGAGTCGTCCCAAATCATTGCCTTTTGCAGGAGGGGGTGGGTAACGAGAGGTGGGTGGGGTGGGGGAGGGGGAGGAAGGAAGAAAGGGAACGTGAAGAAGGCAGCTCGCGCGTGCACCGGCTGTGGCTGTCTGTCGCCCCAGACAGATCATTGCCTGGAGGGGGAGGTGAGGAAGACGAGCAGGAATCACTATCAATCAACCAACCACCTCGAGTGCAAAACGACAGCTCGCGCATGCACCGCAGCACCGGCTGTGGCTGTCGCCCCAGCTGGAGGCCGAAGTGGAACAGGTTGGGTGGAGTGGAAAGAAGGGAATAGAGCGGGATGGAGGGGAAAACACAACAAATAGCGATGATCATCACGAGCTCACTTCACCGCGACAGGTCGGCTCGCCGATGCACCGGCTGTGGCTGTCGTTTCAAGTCAAGGCCTGATGAGGGGGGGAAGTGGGAACGGGGTGGGAAGGAGAGGAGAAGGGGGTGGGAGAAGGGGAAGGAATCACATGGAGAGAGGTGGATGCGGCTGGCCGATGCACCGCCACCTGTAGCTGTCATCCCATCCTCCTCACGCTCTCTAAACTTTCTCACGCTCTCTAATCTTCTCAACCTCTCTAATCTCCCCGCCGCACCTTGTTAGGCGGGTAGCAGGGGTTGGAGCCGCCGCCCACGAACGCGAGGAAGTTGCAGCGAAACAGCATCTCCACCATGCCCACGCCGCGCCCGTCGAAGTCGCGCCGAATCGTCTCCCACAGCGGGTCGCAGCAGAACACGCGGAAGCCGCCGCGCGTCCCGCACGCGAAGCACGTGAAGTCCTGGTTGAACCGCACCGACAGCGCCTCGCCTTCCGCCTCCCGCTCGCGCGACCCCTCGCGGGAGCCGCCGCCCGCCTGCGCGGCCTGCGCGTCGTGCGGCAGCGCGGAGGATTGCAGCGCGGCGCCGTGCGCCGATGGTTGCTGGAGAGGGTGGTGGGGCTGCGGGGCAGCGGCGGCGGGCGCAGAAACTGCGCCCGCGGAGTCTCGGTCGGCGGAGGGCTCCGCCTCCCTCTCCGCCATCTGCGGCTGCGCCAAAGGATCCGCAAAAGGCTGCGCGAAAGGTTGCGCGGGGTAGTTTTCCGCTCCGCCAACAGCTTCGGGGGGATGCGCGGGGAAAGAGGAATTTGCTGGCGGGGGGCCGCTATTCATGACGGCGACAATCCCAAGGTTTGACACGCTATGCCGGAAAGGTCTCGCAAGTGGAGGAGAAACAGAGGAAACTGCGCGCGCCGCGTGACGGCAGACGGCAGATTGCTCAGCTGTACGGAAGACGGCTGGTGTGGACAGTGACAAGGTGAAATACGCCGAGAGGAGGAGGGAGAGCTATGGATAACAGCGAATGAAGAGCACGGAAGAAGCCGTGGGAGCAGGCAAGCAGGGAGACTGGGCAGAGGATGAAATTCGGTTGTGCTACGAAAAAAACTAGGAACTGGTGGAAGCTGGGGGGGACAGGCGTGGTGTGATGTGATGGGATTGTCGGATTGTGCTGTTGCAGCTTGCCTTGCCTGCTGACTGACATGCTCCGATACAAGGCACACGTGGATTGCTGGTGCAAGTTACAATTGCACACATACTACTATAGAAGCACGTTTGTTGTGGGAATGATTACAGATTTCCTATGCTCCTACTTCAAAATCTCATTTTCCTTCAGCACATGATTTTTCACATCACATGGTCTTGGCATGCCATCCACAATTACGTACTATCGAAATTTGCACATCATTCTTCTCGCCACACTCAAATCATCCAAAGCAAAAATGCCTAGCAGATAGTAGAGTGAGCCCCATAACATGCCTAGATCCTAAGCACTGCAAACCTACGCTAACAGTTAAGTAACCTACTGCTGCGGTGGACGAGCGCTGATGCTTGGTTTTTTCATGGCCAATGGATTGCTTGAGCTGGGCGGTGCAAACCCATTCTTCTGGGGCTTGTTGTTCACAAGGCCTTGCAGCGTCTTCGCCTCCAGCTCTGCAATCGATTTCTGTAGCTGCTATTTCTTCATTAGCTGCCCGTGTGTGTGAGCATTAGGTGGCACAATGGAATATGGGATCTCTCTTGGATGCAAGGCAGGCCCCAGAAGTGCCCCTTCACCTCTGCTCGACGCAGCTCTTTGTTGTCCTGAGTTGCCACTTTGCAGTCCCCCCTGGGAATCTCCATCAGAATCCCTTCGCACAGCCTGCACTCCAAGTTCTCCTGATTTGCCCACCATCCGCAAGTGCCCATCCGAATCAAACTCCTTGCTTTCCTCTCTTTGCAACACCACGAACTTCGTCGACAGGAGTGCTGCATCAGACTTTGAAGCAAGCTCCCTGCCTGAACTCAAAAAGTTTGTCGCCACCCTTTCAGAGGATGCTTTTCGAAGATCCAGCCCACCAAGCCCTTCCGGTTGCTGAGATTGCGGGGACAGTTGACGGCTCCTGCTTGGGCTCCAAGAGGAGGACGTATCGGATGCAAGGTTGGCAACTGCAGAAGAAAACCTTCCACCCCGTTCCCCTCCCTTGGAACCTTCACCTGGACTTGGCTCTTGCATTTGCTTTCGCGGAGCTCTGCCCAAATCACCCTCCACATCCCTCTTGGTCATGTCAGAAACATGCTGCTCCACCTTCCCATCCGCCCCGCATCTCTCCTGCGACATAGGCTCTCCCACAACACCAACTTCTCGCCTTCGAAACCCAGCTGCTTCTTCTTGATAGTCAGACCTCTCTCTATCCACTCCTCCTTTCCGAGCCCCACCCGTGTCACCCTTGGAACCAGAACCTCTGTCAAACTTAGGATCTAAGTCTCTCAGTTCCTTCCTAGCCTGCCAGTAAGCCTCCTCGTCCCTTTGTGCCACCGCAATCCTCTGGTAAGCTCGGCCACCATGGCCAGAACCATCCTGCTCGATGTCACCTCTCCGATCATACCTGCCACCATCATACTGCTCCCTTCGGTTGTGCTTAGCCCAGGGGTCTTCACCAGACTCAACGTCCCTCTGTTGAAACCTCCACGGTTAGGCTCTGCGGAAAGCTTCTTCTCTGGACCAATCACGTGGATCCCACTTCTTCCCTGGTCCAAAATCGAACCGATGAGGAGCCACACCATAATACTCCCCATCTCCTCCGTTTGCGTACAAATGCGCCGGTTGCATCCCAGCCCTCTGCCGAGTCAACCACCAGGGAGGAGCATTCGGATCCTGCACCAGCTCGCCCCATTTTGCAGGTGGCGAACAGGACGCATCTCAGGAAGGGTACATGTGCTGGCGAGTAGGTTCTGTGCGTCCTTGCTCACGATCGCCATCCACATCTCGCTCCCAGCCTCTTCCCCGGCCATCATGGACCGCATCTCTCCCTAGGCCGTCCCTACCACCTCCCTAGCGTTGGTCCCTCTCCACAGCATGCCCACTAGAGCTGTGATGCGGCGCTACCCTCTCCCAATCAGGGCGCGACGAATGATGCCTGTCCTGCGGATCCTTCGAACCTCCATGTGTATTTCAATCGCCTTTCGCGTAGTTCCCGCTGCCACTCTTGTCCTTCGAGTAATACTCCAGCTCAACTCATTCATCGCCACCCCTTCGAAAGCCTGCTCTTGCATCCCCATGATACAACAACGGTTGAGAACACGACGAATACGATACGCCTGGTTCAAGAAGCCCATTAAAACGGCCAACGGGTCCGGGAAACCGCTCATGTTCTCTATGTGGGAACACAGTTCGGCTGAGCTCGTTTGAACTTGAACCAGGCATGGGACCGGAGAAGCTATCCACCTTGCCTCTTCTGTGCCTGTTCCTCACAGCAAGCAATCGTTGCCAATACCGCATTTCCAGCTCCTGCATTTCATGCTCCCTTTCCAGCCGAAGCTCCTCCTCTTCCCTAATCAACTCGTCGTCCCCATCACCCCTTTCTAGCTCACCCAATGAACCCCAAATCCCCTTGGAAGTTCCGCCACTGATTGGCTGTGCAGCATAGAATCCCATCCTCCAGACGCTTTGTTGTGTCGTTTCAGCTCCATTACAGCGCTGAAATCTGTCAGGCTTTTCCTCCCCCTCGATGCTGACTCCCTCCAAAGTTCACTTGAACCATCCGAAGCTAGTGGAAGCGCAATATCATCAGCCGTGAACTGTTTCACTGGTGCATCTCCACCCATGACTAAAGTTGCATCCTCCCCCTGACCATGGCCTCGGTCTTCAGAATCGCTCAACATCCCTGATCCTCGATGCTGTGCTCCTTCATCTGATTCTTCGCTCGAGAACCCAGCCCCTCCGTCAGCGACTGTGCCTGGTAGGCCTTCCCAGAAATGACCATGAGTCATGCCAAGATGATCCAAGCCACCGTTTGCAAGCGAGCTAGAGAAGATTTTTGCTGATGCAGGAGGAGAAGTAGCACTTGGCCAGTCCCGCTGACAGGATTGAGACCGAGAACGCAAACGTGATGGAGAGGCTGAACGCGACCTCTCGGAAGATCGGCCGGGCAATGAGTTGGTTGACAAAACTGTACTCAGATGGCCCACAACTTCTTCGCCTTCAACCTCCTCCTCTTCTTGATCGTCTGCATCACCGACCTTGCTCCTGGTCCCTTCCGAGCCCTCCGTTTTGTCAAAAGAAGGACCTTGTTTCCAATCCGGAACGAGCTTCGTGATTTCCGCGTCTATCATCTCTGCGATGCTGGTCACATCTTGGTCAGAAAGAGCAAGCTCTTCAACCATCTCGCTTGCCACACTAAAAGCTGTGTCTTCCTCCACGTTGAAGGGAAATTGAATGTTGCGCACCAACCTTGAATGTCAAGCAAACGAGTAAAAAGATAGTAGTTATTAATTAGAATCATCTGCATGTCAAAATTATTCAAATCGGTAAGTGAACAAACTTACCTTCTGAATCGACGATCCTTAAACGAAGGAACACAGTATGGTCGTCATTGTCAACAAGCTTTCCCTTGAATTTAAAGTCTCGACTTCAGCGAAGTCGATCTGCTTCATGCAAACTGTCAAGATCATTGTCGCTGGATCTCCTTGCGCTCTTCAGATGCTGCTCTGAAACACCATTCTTGTTGTTCCCAGATGGCGTGGAATGCGTCTCCGTCTGCAACACAGGCTTCTTCGGGCTTGAATTTGACCTGTATGAATCTTGACCTTGGCTTCCCACGCTTGATAGGTCGCTTCATTTGGACATGGAGCGAGAGAGATGCGACATGTCAAGGTTTCCGAGACCTCCACGATCACCATCGTTGAGGAACGGGTCCATCAACAACTCTAGTGCTGGAAGGCGGCATCACGCAGTGGCGAGGCACTTCTCCACAAAAGCCCGCACTTCTCGATCCTTTACCTTGTTCAGCGCTGCTGGCTTCTTACCCTGAAATTGGAACAGAATGTTAGAATGTGAGAGAATGGAAATGAATGAACTAGGCAGCAGGTGGGTACAAGTATGAAACCCTAAAAGTGTTGTACCCTATAAGAACTACCCTAATACAGCCTAAACAGACTATAGCATATAAGTTTGACACACCCCCATAGGCAAAGTAGGGGAGAACAAGAGGTCACAAGACTAGTCAAGAAAGGCAAAGCAAGCTCAGGGTGGATCACAAAGTCACCACGCAGTCTGAGCAAAAACAAATGGCCACAAGGCCAGTTCACATGCAGAGTTATATAAAGGAAAACAAACAATACAGTGAACACAACCTAACCAGTGTAAGCATGCAGGGATATGTATATAGAGTACAGTACAAGGAGAGTCAAGAAGTAAGCAAGTGAGGTACAGTAGGTACAAGGCCTAGAACAGTACAGAAACGCTGATGATCACAAGGTTGAAGTGCCTTGGTGAAAACATCAGCAGTGTTGGCCTGTGAGGCCACGTAAGCGAGAAGACACTGACCACGCTGCTGCAACTCTCGAGCATGGAAGTAGCGCAGAGCAATGTGCTTCGTTCTGTGCTCCAGTCTGCGCTCCTGACACAAGGCCAGCATGGCCTTGTTGTCGACGTACAGAACTGGAGGAGAACGAGGCGCCTCTCCCAAGTCGGTCAGCAGGTAGGTGAGCCAGCGTAACTTCTGTGCAGCCATGGCTCCAGCGTAGATCTCAGCCTCACAACTCGAGCTGAGAACAGAAGAAGAGCGGGTAGACCGCCAAGAGATAGAACCGGAACCAAGACTGAAGGTGTAACCCTGTGACGACCGCTGTGT